GAGTGGGGGGGACACCAGACTGTGGGACCCCCGGGATCCTGGAGAGGGGGGAGATCGGAGGTGGGGGACCCCAGAAAGGGGAGAGCCCCCGGGATCCCCGACAGGGGGGAGCCCCAGGATCCCCGGGATCCCGGAGAGGGGGGAGATCGGAGCTGGGGGACCCCCAAAACCCCTGGGATCCCCGAGTGGGGGGAGATCGGAGGTGGGGGACCCCCAGGATCCCGGAGAGGGGGGAGACCAGAGATGGGGGACACCCAGGACCCCCAGGATCCCGGAGAGGGGGGGACACCAGACTGTGGGACCCCCGGGATCTTGGAGACGGGGGAGATGGGAGCTGGGGGACCCCTAGAACCTCCGGAGCTGGGGGACCCCAGAAAGGGGAGAGCCCCGGGATCCCAGAGAGGGGGGAGCCCGGAGGTGGGGGTTCCCCGGGACCCCCAGGATCCCGGAGAGGGGGGAGACCAGAGCTTGGGGACCCCCAAGACCCCTGGGATCCCGGAGTGGTGGGGACACCAAACTGTGGGACCCCCTGGATCCTGGAGAGGGGGGAGATCGGAGGTGGGGGATCCCCGGGACCCCCAGGATCCCGGAGTGGGGGGAGATCGGAGCTGAGGGACCCCCAAAACCCCTGGGATCCCGGAGTGGGGGGAACACCAAACTGGGGGACCCCCAAAACCCCTGGGATCACAGAGAGGGGGGAGATCGGAGCTGGGGGACCCCCAAAACCCCTGGGATCCCGGAGTGGGGGGAACACCAAACTGGGGGACCCCCAAAACCCCTGGGATCACAGAGAGGGGGGAGATCGGAGCTGGGGGACCCCCAAAACCCCTGGGATCCCGGAGTGGGGGGAACACCAAACTGGGGGACCCCCAAAACCCCTGGGATCCCGGAGTGGGGGGAACACCAAACTGGGGGACCCCCAAAACCCCTGGGATCCCAGAGAGGGGGGGATCCCAGAGATGGGGGACCCCCCAGACCCCTAGGATCCCAGAGAGGGGGGAGCCCCAGGATCTCTGGGACCTCAGAGCAGGAAGAGCCCCAGGACCCCTGGAATCTCGGAAAGGGGGGAGACCGGAGATGGGGGACCCCCAGGATCCCGGAGAGGGGGGAGACCAGAGCTGGGGGAC